CGTGGGGTGTGGGTTATTTGGTGGTTCTGGGTTGGGTTTGGTGGGTCTGGGTGGGTGGATCTGGGTGGTGGTGTGGGTGGTGGTTCTGGGGCTGGTGATGGTGTGGGTGGGTAGGGGGTAGTCAGGGGGGTAGGGGTGGTGGTTCTGGGGCTGGTGGTGGTGTGGGTGGGAAGTGGGGTGGCGCTGGGTGTGGGAATGGTTGGGGGTGGTCTGGGCATGGTAGCGTGGAGTGGTCTGGGCAGGGTGGCGTGGCTTTTTTTTTATTTTTTTTAATGACTTTTCCAACGGAATTCCGTCGGAATATACCGTTTCCGACGGAATATTCTGTCGGAAACCAATCCACCTCCGACGAAATATTCCGTCGGAAAATTGCGACGGACTTTCAATTAAAGTCAAAAATACCGCCGACAGAATAAGATCCGTCGGAAATTCCGTCGGAATCACCTCTTCCGACGGAATTTCCACCGGAAAAGGTCGAATTTCCGACAAAGGGTGCTTGGACAGACCTTTTCCGACGGAATTCCGTCGGAAGAGGTGATTCCGACGGAATTTCCTATGTTTTCGACGGAAAAATTCCGTCGGAATCCAGCTTCATTCTCAATGGCCTTATTATCAGTTGGGATTCAATACGTGCAGGGGCATTTTCTGCTGGTATATGTGATTTTGTCACCTTCTTTGTGTCTACAAATGCATCAGGCAATTGATTTGCAACACTTTGTAAATGAACCATTTTCTTGACTTCTTGTTCACACATATTTGTTCGTGGGTCTAACATCAACAGTTGTGTTGCATTCCAAATAAGTTCTATTTCTTTCTTGCATGGGTCCACTTTCTCTCCCCCTAAGGCTGGGAATACTGCTTCATTAAAGTGACAGTCGGCAAATCTAGCCGTAAATAAGTCACCAGTCAATGGTTCAAGATATTTAATTATAGAGGGGGATTCAAACCCAACATAAATTCCGAGCCTTCTTTGTGGACCCATTTTTGTTCGTTAGGGTGGAGCGATTGGAACATATACAGCACAACCAAAGACTTTTAGATGTGAGATACTTGGTTCTCGACCACAAACAAGTTGTAGTGGTGAAAATTTATGATAAGTTGTAGGTCTCAATCTAATTAGCGTCGCTGCATGTATTATAGCATGTCCCCAAGAAGATGATGGCAATTTTGACCTCATTGATAATGGTCTTGCAATCAATTGCAATCTCTTAATTAGTGATTTAGCTAGACCATTTTGTGTATGAACATGAGCTACTGAGTGTTCAACATCAATTCCAATTGACATACAATAATCATTAAATGTTTGGGATGTAAATTCCCCAACATTATCGAGTCTTATTTTCTTTATTGTATAATCCGGGAATTGTGCTCTTAATTTGATAATTTGGGCAAGTAATTTTTTAAAGGCAACATTTCCGCTTGAAAGCATACTGACATGTGACCATCGTGTAGAAGCATCAATTAAAACCATGAAATATCGAAATGGTCCACATGTCGGATTAATTGGCCCACAAATATCTCCCTGAACTCTTTCCAAGAATTTTGGAGATTCAATAGCAATTTTGTTCATAGATGGTCTTATTATTAATTTGCCAAGTGAACATGCTGAGCATGTCAATTCATCCGATCGAGGAATTTTGACACTTCTTATTGAATGTCCAACTAAATTTGCTATTAGTTTTTGCATCATCCCAGTTGCTGGATGTCCCAAACGATCATGCCATAAAATAATCAAATGTTTGTCATCTAACTTCTGGTTAGATATCATATTGATTTCCACTGGTCGTATGTTTATACGATATAACCCTGAAGAGTATGCTGGCAATTTCTCATAAATGTGTTTCTTGCCATATTTTCCTGCCGTGAGGCATAAATACTCCTTTTGACTAAAACTTTTAAGATTTCTTCGAGATTTACTCGAGTATAAAGCATTATTGATCATCAATTTTGTTCCATTTGGAAGCATTATACAAGCCTTTCCAAATCCTTCAGTTAATTTTGCTGACCTGGAAATAGTGTTTACATTTGCCTAAAATAACTTTAGTTGTGAAAAATATTTTCTATCCTTCAAGATAGTGTGTGTTGTTCCACTGTCCTAAAGGCACTGATATTCGGAACCAACTTCAGGCATATCCATATTTTCATAAAATAAATATGAGATTAGTTTAGAATAATATCATACAAACTTTTATTGATGATAGAAATTAAAAGTACATGACTAGTCATTTAAAGTCAGTACATAACAGAAAATACATTAAAATATGGTATATATTACATTAGTAGATGGGTTATTTAAGCATTGTTATTTTCTCTAAAGATGAAATCATTTCCAATTTCAGAATTGTCCATGAAAAAATCGGACATGTCAAGGGTAGGACATGGAGCATGTTCTTCATTAACATAATTTGCTTTTGCATTTTTCTCTTTGCCTTTTACAGAAGCCTGGTAAAGGTCTACCAAATGTTTGGCCGTACGACAAGGACGTCCCCAATGTCATGTCATGCCACATCTGTAACATGTGTCTTTTCCTTTTGAAAGAGTTTGTTTGTGGCTTCCAGATAGTTGTACCTTCTGTTTTTCAAAAATTTTGAAATTACTGTTTCTTTGAAAATTATTTCTACCACGTCCTCGGCCTCGTCCGCGATAATTTCCACGGCCATTGTAATTTCCACGTCCACCTCTTCGTGCAGCATTTGCCTCGGGTAGATAAGAACTTGTTGCATTTGCCTCATGATGAGTGGCCAAAGACCCAGTTGGTCTAAAATTATGATTTTTCAACAAAAGATCACTATTTTGTTCCGCAACAAGCAGTACACTCATTAATTCATTAAACTTTTTAAAACCTCTTTCACGATATTGTTCTTGCAACAGTATGTTGCTTGCATGAAAGGTAGTGAGTACTTTTTCAATCATTTTTTCATCGGTGACTGGATGATCACAGTATCTCAATATAGATACTATCTCATGTATGGTTGAATTGTAATCAATTACGGATTTGAAATTCTGGAACCGTAAATTTATCCAGTCAAATAATGCCTTAGGAAGGAGCACCCTTTTGTGGTGTCCAAATCTTTCATTAAGGCAATCCCATAATTCTTTGGGATCTTGAACCATCATATACTCAGTTTTAAGGCCTTCATGTAAATGATGCCTAAGTAACACTAAGGCTTTTGCCTTTTCTTATTCAGTAACAGGTTTTTCAACCGTCATTGCAAAAGTGGTAGTATCAGTTGTTTGACCAAAGGGACTTTTATTATCTTTAACAGTGTGCTCCAACCCTTGAACTTTTAAATTCATCATGGCATCCACTTTCCATTCTAAAAATTTCTTTCCAGATAAATCTAGAATGTTGTATTGTCTTTTTATAAGGTCTCCCATTTTAACTACAACAAATCACATGATAATTAGTTTATAATAATAAATCATATATACAACGCATATGTTTAATTCTTCCATATTTATAGTTTGTTAATGAAACACGTGATAATTAAATTTATTTAACAATAATAAACCATAAATAATATAGTTCTTTCTCCCCCTTGGTTTATTATTGTGAGTAATTATATTATTAGGCAAAAATAAATCATATTAGTCGCATAAACAGCAAAACGGCGACAACAACAACAACATTAGTAATAATAATTATAATAACGGTAATATTATACAATGATGATTAATAACAACAAAACAACATAATAAAACAAAAACATGCTTTTAATCTACTAAAACGACAAAATAAACAAACTTCACTTGTACATTATGACAAAAATTAATATTGCTACTAACAGAACTACAAGCGTCATAATTAGAAGAAAATATTGTTTTATCTTCCTTAAATCTTCCTCAAAGGTGAAGTTGTGGGTGTTTTGGTTGCCGTCGGGGAACATATTGGAGAAAAAGGGGTGAAAAATTTTGGGTGATTTTTGGATAAGGAAAAAAAATGGGAAAGGATAAGGGATTTGTGGTGAAAATCAGGGAAAAATCTGCCTTTTATAGAGATAGGTTTATCCGTTACTGTTTTGTACAATTGTAAAAATATTATATAATAGTTTAATGTACTGGAAAAATTATAGTCCAAATATAAGTATTTATATTTGTAAAAGGTACTGGGAATGCAAGCCATAGTGGTCCGAGAGCCTTAACATCTATAAAAGATCATGGGTTCGAAAACGGAAAGAAACACAAAAAGTACGTAAAAGAAAGAAAAATAATAAGTATAAAAAGGTTGCATCTTTTTCGTCAATTTAGTTATAATATGCATGCTAAGTTACTACTAAAATCAAATTTTTTGTAAAAGATAAGCATGTAATATCAACATGCATGAATCAAACAAAAACATCAACATGAATAAAACAAGGGAGAATAGTAATTAATTCATAGATAAGAGAATTTCTCCACGTTGTTTTGATACAGTAAATGTTTGAGTTTCTGGTATAGAAGATCCCAAAATATGGGCAAATATAGAGCATACTCCTCAAAACATTTAGAAGTAGATCATGTTTATTTGTAATAATTTTGAGAAGTATGTATAAATATACTTGAATAGGAATTGATGTTGATAACGTGTTAAAGATTTTACCGATAGAAAGTTTTTTAATCAGTGAAGGAAGAAGTAAGAAGTAAGAAGAAGTGAAATTGTAGTAATGCTCCGGTTGTATTCTTGCTTGTGTCATTTTACACTTACATGGCATTATATGTATAGTCATGAGTTATACTAAGAGTACAATAATTACTCAGATATAGTCATATGAGTTCACAAGTATTTGGACCTACATGAGCATTGTATAATCAAATCAATAATTGGCATTCACCTTATTAGACTTATCTTTTAACAGAAAAAGGAATTTCACAAGGAAAAATAAAAACTTCACACATTGTAATAATAGTACGTGTAAATCTACAACCACATGTGTGAGCCTCTACCAACCGTTGGATCAGACAATATTCAAATTACAAGACCGACCGTTGCTTTCGGATTTCCACTTCAGACTTGTAATAGTGGAGCCAAAAACCCAGAAAAACTAGCCGTTACCTCTTTTTCTCTCCCTTTTTTTTGGTAGAATTTTATTTTAATTCATCAATCAATCAACTTTTAATCCCCAATTTTACAAACCCTTTCATATTCAACTCACTCCAATTCAATAAATAAAACCCTTCAATTTTCTTTCCATTCATCATTTTCATTACACCCACAAAATCAATTAAACATCAACAACACCCACATAATCTTGCAAATCTTCAATGGCTTCTAAAACTGTTGCTAAGGATATCATCACTCTTCGTGGCTCGGCCGCGATCGTAAGCGAGTTCTTTGGTAATTAATTTCTTTAATTTTTCCTTCATTGAGTTATTTTCTTCCAAAAAAGAAATTTCCCATTTTTCTTCCCTTTTTCTTAAACCCTTTTTGTTTGAATTTTTCAGGGTACGCTGCAAATAGGTAAGAATTCATCATTTGGGATCAACAAAAGTTTCAATTTTTCCTTTATTTTTACTAATTATTAATTGATTTATCTTATAATTATTGTTAATTTTGTTATTATTAGTATATTGTATAATCGAGGGGTATACCCAGAAGAAAGTTTTGGGAAAGTGAAGAAATATGGACTGCCATTGCTTCTTACTCAAGATGAAGGTGTTAAATCTTTCATTGCTAATCTTACTGCTCAACTTTCAGGTAAATTTTAATTTTTTGAAAGAAAAACCCATTTTTCTACCCAATAAATTTAATTAAATTTCTGGGAATTGTTTAAATTTAATGTTCTGGGTTTTTTTTTTATATATTTGTTGAATTTGGATTGCAGAATGGCTTGAAGCAGGAAAATTGCAGAGGATAGTTCTGGTGATAATGAGTAAATCTACAAATGAAGTTCTTGAAAGATGGAATTTCAGTATTGAGACTGATAATGAAGTTGTAGAAACTGGGTATAAAAATTATAAATTTATATAGTTATTTTTTTAAAAAAAAAATTATAAATTTTGCTATTAATTTTAATTTTGGGTATGATTTAATTTCAGGGTATCAAGGGAAAAGAGTGACAAGGAAATAATGAGGGAAATACAAGCAATTATGAGGCAGATTGCTTCTAGCATCACTTACTTACCTTGCCTTGATGAACCATGTAATTATTACTGCTATGATTGTCTTCTATTATTATTGTGTATGATTGAAATGTTTCTATTTTTGTCTTTCTGAAAATATAGTAGTCCCGCATTTATTATAATATTAGGATGTTCGGAAAAAGTAATCGTAATTTATTGTGTGATTTACCGATATAACCCTTACTAAGATCGAGTAATAGGGAGAGTATGAGAACGATCTGACTAATGTATCTGGCAATGTCTTTGTTATGTTACACAGGTGTTTTCGACGTCTTGGCATACACTGACAAGGATGTAGCTGCTCCTCTCACTTGGATTGAGAGTGATCCCAAATTGATTTCCAACCCCCAAATGGTGAAATTACATTCTTTTGATACCAAGGTAAAAGAAAATTGAAGAAGCAGTACTTTTCTCAAATTATGGTCTCCTAATTTCTTAATTAGATGTAATATGTTGTTTTTCTGAGAGTTTAACACAAAAAATGAACTTTTTATGCAGATTCACAAGGTTAACACTTTAGTATCTTACAAAAATGATGATGAAGAATTGGATGAACAATAATCGACTACAGTCTGTGATTTTGGAGAAAAATCGAATGAAGTATTATGTTTGTTTTTTTACTATTTGTTAGTGTGGTAATGTGAATCATTGATTCACAATTTTGTATTTGGGATTCCAAACTATTACCAGTACCTATGTATCTGAAAGTGTTGGTTCATCAATTGGATTGAATTTATCCAAATGTTAGCTGATTGTGAGAAAACAGAAAACTGCATTCTTATTGTGAGTTTTAGAGACGAATAATAGTATTAAGCTGCGCTAGGCTACAAGCAGCATCAGCAGAATTGTCTCTTTAAACCACTGAGTAGATAACTTGCAAGTTTCGGTTTGCTGAAATTCTATTCATGTTTGAAATAAAAATGTACACTGATGTATGATTGGCTGACTGCATATGTTTATAATTGTCATTAGGAAACTAGTCTGTGTCACTAAGCTACGAGATTCCACAGTTTTTAAGAGTGAAACACAAGAAGTTGAAAATGTAAGGAGTCAATTATTAGATGAATTTGAGCCATGTTTAAAGTAAGGCTGCTGACTTATATTACACAAGGCAACTATATACAATTAGAAGTTTTTATAATAAGGCAATTCTCTATCTGTAGTTCTGTACAAAAGGTCAGAAAATGGAAAATTTTCTGTCCGCAAATCACTTAAGCTAAATAAATGTGCTCTATGGTAAAAGATATCTGGCGGCGAACAAAGAGTAAGGGCACCACCCAGTCACCCACCAAGCAACAAACTGCCCTCAGCTTTTCAAGTCACACCACGATATACTTCATCTGGGCGAAGATCATCCAAATTATCGATAGTTCTATAGCCATTCAACTCCCTAAGACATGACCATCCCCGGCGATGCATTAACTCACGGAAATCATCCTCGGTGTAAAAAGTTTTATCTACGGTGTGGGATATCGTCTGACCGGGATATGAAATGTGGTCTGACTCCTCATAGCACAGCTTAATCGTCATACCTGAAACAAAGAAATTGTTATTGCAGGGGAGGGATAAGGGGAAAAGAAGGATGCCACATGCTACAACTCCATTCACATGGTAATTGAATGTACTACAATGCAATATATGAGGGGAGGGGTGCAACAAGCTAATGCAACATATACCGTGATCAAGGTGAAGAGTGTAGGTGCCTAGTGGCATGTCCCTGTCAAGGGATCGGGCAACCTGTTCCTCATCCTCCAACCAAAATGCACGCTTTGTCCTTAAACCAAATGCAGATCGGATCACATCTTTGATGGCCTCAGCAGTTCCCTCTACACCAATCCTCTTAGTGTAATCACCCCATTTGACAATTATCACCCTCCCACCAAAAGGATGAGTATCATCACCTGCAAAAGTTAAGGTAAAAATTAATATCAAAACTCTAGAACTAAAACAAAACATGCCTGCTAAAAATTCAGAAAACGTTACAAGCCAATAGCTAATAGGTTGCAAGACAAAACAACAGGTGTTGTGATAACTTCTTCCTTATCATAAATCTCCCTCTTTTACACACATACGAAGGGAGGAATCATGCCAACTACGGCAAAAAAAACTCGCCTTTCTTCACCATTTTAATTTTCTTTCATCAGATTTTGAGAACACTGAGAACGGTTGATCTACTGGGTAAAATGAAATGGGAAAAAAAAAAAAAAAGAGTGAGAGAAATCGGAAGGGGACCAAATCAAATTAAACACAAGAAATTTAAGAGGGCCTCTCCTCTGAAGACAGAAGATTAAAAGAAAAGTAACAATAAAAAAAAAAAAATCAGAAAGGAATTAAACATACTGGTAAAACCAGCACCAAGAAGAAATACTGATTATAATATAAATAATAAAATGAAAAAAAAAATGATGATGAAAATGTTGAGCTTTATGGAGCAAAAAAGCTTCTAGATATTAGGATTTTGGAATATACAGTGACCAGGTTCAGGTGAGTGGTCTGCCAGGCTAAAGTCCACAGTCATCTATTCACAGTTCACGCACATTACAGACAAATTAAGGAAACTATATTCAGACTTTCTATTAAACTGCCTCTTAGCAGAATCGGCAAGATGCTCACACCAAGCCTTGGCAGAGGCCATTCGAGGCATGCACCAACTTATGTAGTTACATATAGTGAACCTTGCGGCACCCAGGCGTCTCAGCCTCTCCGATCCAGTGAAGTGTGTGCCATGTGCCTAGTTGCACACATGTACACTTGAGGCCTGCTTTTTTAAAAAAAAATAAGTCTCATAACTAACACATGATTCAACCATGATTTTAGATCACAAACCTAGACATCATTTGTCACATACTCACATCCAACATAAAAACACCAAACTTACCCATATAACCCTCTACAGCCCCATCTCACTCTTCAGACACAAAAAAAAAGAAAAGATTAAGAAGAGGGACAGCCGGGTTACTCATTAGTCACTCAACTCTTTATCCCCACCTTCTAAGTCTAGATTTGGATTTCACTTCAGGCAGAAGTAATTCACTAATGCTGCTCTAAAGTTTTCTTATGCATTGTTCTCAGTTCTCACTTCATAAATCATAGGAATATAAGAATAAGACAGAAGAAACTGGAGACAATATAAAGAAATAAGAATGAATGGTACAAAATTGCACTTACAAAAACGCCCCATCTAAATTTATTTCTCAGAAGTCACAAATTCCTGAAGGAACAAAATTTTGGACACTATCAAAGTAAGAAATTAACCTTCCTACATACTCTGGGACCACTAGAAGACACTCAAATCAAAGTATTTCGAACCTTTTCAAACTCAAAAAAAGCACTGCATGAGACCGAGAGAACTATACAAACTTTCTCTTTTTAATCTTATTAAAGTCCCAAGATAAATTCATAATAGCTTCAGAAGCACAAATCCAGTCATTAAATCCTCCTGAATCTATATTACCTATTTCAGTTTGCTTCAGAAGAATCCAGATCAACTTTAAGGGATCCGTCTATTTATTCTCTGAAAATCAAACATGAAAGCACTCCAAATGACCCTGTTTGGCTGTTTCTTTTTTAATAAAGCTTAAAATGTCTCCTACCTCTTCATAAAGTTGTAGCCATAAAATGCCCTGAATTTTCATACAGGAATGTGATAGAGCTAGTTTAAGGTTTTTATTAAATAACAAATTCAAAGATATTTAGTTGAAATTGTGGAAGTAATATGTTACAAGACTTACAACTTACAAGGCATGTTCGAGCACCCACATCCAACTTTTAGATTGAATAAACTAATGGAAGCCAAACAAGATATAAGGCACCCCTGAAGTATTAATACTCAATAGTCAAACCCTTGACTGTGTTCATATTCACTTGATCACTTCACTTGAGTCTGAGGCGCTTAGCTTTAGATACTTTTTCAAACAGGCACTCATGTACAATTAATATTTTCCATCCAAATAGCATTAAACTGATCTTTTGTTAAAAAAAAAACTAGAACAAGACCACATAGTAGCTAATCAACCCATTGAATCTTCTAACACAACTCCTCAAACATGCAACTTATATTTGTAACAGCAATTTTTCCGACAGAAAAGATGAAGTTAACAGTAAATAGAGACGGATAAATGTTAATGTGAACCTCACGATCATTATAACTTTTCACGTTCCTTTGAGACGAGTTTTTTTTTTCCTTGAATTGCACAAATTGTGAATTTAAGGTAATTTTGAAGCTCATATTATTCAAGCCTTTTCTCTTTACCTTATTCTTACAGCTTATTTATGTTAAAATCAGACCAAATCAGACCAGAGTGGACCAAAATAAACTCAAAACAATACCAAACATAGTTATAACGATAACAATTCATACCAAACAATAAATTCAAACCAGACAGCACCAACAGAGACCAGACTAGTCCACATCAAACGGACAGACAAAAATTTAAAATTAAGACCAACATGCCAAATATAAAGTGAAGAGAACATAGCCTCCATGTATACAAGATTACCATTTCCAGGAGTCTCACGCCAAAATGATGGGGGGCAACCCCCATCTGTTACGGCATCAGCTGCAGTAATGGCAAGAGGATGTCCCTCATGATCCAAACGCCTCTCCAAGTTCAGAGTTGGCCTCCCATTAGCTTTACCCAAAAAAAAATAATAATAAATAAATAAATAAAAAATTAAAATTAAAATTAAAAATAAAAAAAAAAATAGTTAGTACATAAATCCAATGAATACAAACTTTAAACAGACAAAATGTCAATTCAAAAAAAAAATATCAATAGAAAATACAATAAAGCCGTTCACAAGAAAAGCAGGTGCAAAAGAGGATGGGTTAAGGAAAAATGAGAAGGACAAAAGAATGTCACTATGCTTCACAACTCATAGATTTTAGCATTCGAACGCGGATGCATGTGAAGGCATCACAATTTTCCCATCAAATAGGACAAGGGCGGGTGCCTACTAACCAATTTCTTCTTCCTCAATCATAATCTTCATTGGTTCCTCAATCTTAATCTTCAATGGTTCCTCAATCATCGGTTCCACAATCATTTGTTCCTCAATCTTAATCCCCATTGGTTCCTCAATCTTAATCTTCTTTGGTTTGTGCATTTCTAAGATAGAGCAGAAGAGATAGAAGGCCAAAACTCAAAGACCAGAGAGATGCAATGTCACTAACTCTGACAAGAATATAGCAGAAATTATAATACTCTGGAGAATCAGATCCAAGATCCCTACACATCAAATGTACCGAGCTTCATCATTAAAATTTAAAACAATCTTCGCTCAATTTTCAGAATTTATGGGTTCAAAATCATTAATTGAGGCTTCACTACTATGAGGGTTTTGAGATTGAGTAGGCTTTTCTCAATAAAACATTTAAACCAAGTATAAATCAGGTTATGCTCGCCTAATCTAAGGGTTTTTTATTTGATTTCACTCATGACAATGAAATTTCTCACAGCTAAGAGTCACACTCCAAGATAAGAACACAAGTTTCTGGACACTCCAATTTTATTAATCAAACAATTTCATGTATAACAAGCAAAAATAAAGCAATAAATAGCCTCATGATATTGTCTCCTAATATGACATGAAAACGCGTGGAAAGTTTTAGGAAACAAATCAACCTTAACAAATCTCATGACTTATTAGCAACAACAAAGCTATAAATAGCCTCACAAAACCGTCCATCTGTCCTATTGACTAAAGGAAACAAAATAAAGCTCCTCATATGACTAGAAAACACATGGATAGTTTTTAGGAAATAAATTAACCTTACAGCTTTCCTTAACTCTCCTACGGTGTATAAAAAGGTGCACCTACAAGTGAGTCTCGAGGTGAAAGGGATGAAGCACTCTTTTCTGATCCAAGCAAGACGATTTCAAAGAGGAGTAGGGAGGCACAAAAGCGCACTGAGGTAGACAACTTTTTATACACACAAAAAGTTTATCTCATTATATGAGCCATGCATTAGCTTTGCACCTAGACTAAAGGATCCCTATCGCCTTAGTGCTCCGTAGTGATTTTTTTTTTTTTTTTTTTTTTTTTTTTTTGAAAAATTGCTCATCTAGTGAGATTAGGAAACAAAACCAAGCAAGAAACAAGTGAGTAGGAAAATCTTACTAAGCCTAAGAGTTACAGAATTCATGCAAAAGCAGTCATACTTACATAAATTAATCTTAAGTGTATAAGGAAACAAAAAGAAAGTAGAAAAATTCAATGCCAAAGGCCCCTAAGCCTTAAAATAGTTATATGCCTATAAGAAATCTATCCTACTATATCTATCCTAGTGTAGGAAACCAACTAGCTCTGGAATCTAGTCAGCTACATGAGAAGCTTGCTTAATAACCGCCTCAATTATTTCTCTGTCTACCTTGCAAGATAGGTTTGCAGCCCTAACTCAATATCGCAGCCCACATGGCCCCTAAATAAATAACTTAAACAAATCCAATAACTAAAATCATCACTTTAGGAGTACGGAAAAACCCTATTTATCCCTATAAAACTATCAAAGAAAGTTAAGGCCAAACAGTGGACACTGGATCACATCATGGCAGCTCAAATATACTGGTACGGTAACTTCCACATGCTCTATTTTATGCCAATCAGAAGTCGCAACATACTGTGAAGGTATGTGAAAAAGGAAGAATGTCCATACGACAATTATTGAGGGGCACAACAACAAAGGGGTTTCTATAGAAGAAGTAACATTTAATGGAATACAAAGGATAAATAGTTTTTGACATGTCTTACCTTAAAGTCAGTTTAAAAAAGGCAGGTCAAAATCCCATTGCTCAATGCAGAGATGCAACTACAAAATTCACCTTCAGAATATTGACAGATCATGCTTTTAAATGTGCACATCAATGAAGACTGGTCATAACAGACAGGAAGATTGATAAAGGCAAGTTAATGACAATTAAAAGGACAATGTCACCGGCATTGATCACAGAAATTTATAAATTAGCTTCCTCCATCCTCAATGTCAATTTATTCCATTTCAGAATATCTCAAAATACTTATTAGGTTTCTATAGAAAATTATCATTTAATTCTAAGTTAAAAATTCCACAGTGATGAGTTCAAACTAAATACGGTAGTTGGACAAGGAAAAATAAATGATCTCCCCTAAAACCTTTTTTTTTTTTTTTTAATTTCTACTTGTTTGCAAAAATACGACCAAGATGGAGGAAAAAGAGAATATAATAGAAGGTATAAAATGGGCTGAGCTAGTGAGCTATATGGCATCAAGATGGAGCTACAACAGGCTAGTCAAATAGTTTGGATAAAATCTATCTTCCATTAAAATGGCCTTGATGTAGTAACATCTCTGAATTAAGATTACTACCATGTTAATAACCTAAAATTGAAAATGATATGCAAGACATTAAAGAACAAAGCCAATCAATGGCATATTGTATAGGAACAAGGAAGCTGAACAAAGTAGTTGATGCTCTAGCCAATGAAGCTATAAACTAAGACTAATGAATCATTAAATACATCCTGCATGAAGGCTTAAATGCTATAACCAGTGCTACTTAACTCATTAACCCCCTTGTGTAACTAGAAAAAGGTGAATTAATAAATGAAAGTGGTACAATTTAGTCTAATTAACGAAACTGGATAGCGAATTGAACAACACTCTGTTTGCATTATTGTCTATAAACACTATGTCACATCTCTGAACACTACGACATAGTGTTTATGCCATATTATCATATTGAATTTTGAAATATGACTTTAATATTGTGAATTGAGAGTGCCTATGGTTCTTTCAGTGATGATGCTTCTCGCAGTTAGAAGAGACCATGTCAAGTAGTGCAGGGCACAATTAACCCTCTAGGAGTCAGTAGCAAGCTGCTTGTGCCATGGTCCCCTTTCCTCTAAAAATGAACTTGATATTATCACAATTTAATTGCATATACAACAGATAGCAAGCTAATAAATATTAGATGGCATGCTTGATCTAGACAAGCTACCAAATGATAGAGATAAATGTGCTAAAATGCCACAGATGATTGCACCAGAAGATCAAGTAATAGAAATATGAAGGTGAGACAAGCAAAAAGTACTAGCCATGGCAATCTTGCTTCAAGGATTAACATCTTGCAGTTTCACTCCTAATCCCTTAACCTTGACATTATAATCAAGTATCTCTCTTTCACCTCGCTTTAGTAGGACCCTTGAGTAGTGCTACTCACCAACCTTAATTATCGTAATTTATTGGTTTTCAGCTCTTACAATGTTCCAAAAACAATTCAAGATACCAATCTAAATTCCATAAGGTTTTGACGTGTAGTACCTTCAATGGGTCCAAAAGGAATAGAAGCATCGTCAATACCTGCACAAAGACAATCAATAAAAAGCATTGTTAGGAAATACACTATTTCATAATCTTTGCTTTTCAGAAACATCATCACTGACTTCTGAGAAGCACAAGGAGCCAAGTAATGGCAAACAAACACTAGAAACAAAAGGAAAACTTTAGAACAAGGTCATCATGCAGCGGTCTTTATACACATTTTAAGGGAGTTACTAGCAGAATCACTTGGTAACAAAAATCTATACTCATACAAGTAGCAAAAGCATACAAACACTGATTTCAAAATATGCATCCCACCACACACAAGCATGCCAAAATAGCTCCCCAACAAATTCATAAAAGACCCAGATAGCATATGTTTCAGTTCATTATACTTCAAGAAGAAACAACAGATTACTAAGCATAATGGCTATCAACATCAGCCAAACTAAGTACTTGGTTCTAATAAACATGTATGATCAAAGATAGACATGTGGATGATGTCATAATCAATTGAACAAATAGTTGTTAAAGGATCTTATTTCTATAGACAAATAGTCATACTGAAATATAAGTGTTGATGTCTTCTTGGTCACAGACCCTCTCCACATATTAATCGCATTTAATTCAATCAATTCAGGGCGGCCCAGCATGAGAAGTTCAACTTCGGACACCAAGGGTTGAACTAAGTCACGAAAAAACTTCTAGTTCAAGTGAAGACTAAGAGCTATAACTCTTATCAGTTTACATGTCCCATTTAGACTTTCTCCACACAAAGTTTCAAGCTAGAAGAACTATGCAAAATACAAGCAGCATTCTTCATACTCATTTTATTGGACCAATCTAAGAATGTAATTCCCTATCCAGATTGAAGCCGCCTCCATTTGGTCAATTACTTACTCATACGTCATACCATTACAAACAACACCCTGATAAAGTGAAAAATGCAAAAACCATTTCCTTTGTTCACATCCCTTTCCTTTCTTACCAACCCTTGAACTCTTGTCCTAGTGCAACCAAGCAAATGACTTATGCCAACAAGACACAAGGAGGGTTAGTGCAAAAACCATTTTCTTTACGGTCTACCTGTCTGTAATCCTTTGAATGAGGAAGGTCAAAGAAATTTTGATAAAACTATCAGCTTTCAATAGCTCCTCCTGCTACCCGTACCCAAGATCAGCATAATATCATCATGAACAGTCAACTGAGTCAAGCACCAATTCGATGAAATTACCAATAAAACAGGGATACACTATTCCAAGATTTCCAACAGCATAAACACATACAAAATTACAAATCCAACAAAGGCAATAATATCAAAACCACCCGAAAAAAAAGACCTCAAATTCAAAAACTTTGCAAACACCCAATACCACAAACAACCTTAAAATTCAAATAAACTCTCCTAATGGAACCAAACCATTCAAGACCCAACAAAATAGCAAAATTCTCAAATGCAATTCTCAACAGGACCTAAACAACATACTAAATTTAACAATTATTAAACCTAAAAATAGTGCAATCCCACATGTAATTCTCAACTAACACCTCAACAAACCCAACTAATAATAACGGAAAAAAACCACAAAAATATAAGCACAAACCTTTATCAGAGAATTGCAAGAAAGAATCAACCTTAGAAGAATGATTATTAACCCCATCATTACTATTATGATTAGGGCTTTTATACCCAGCCGAATTCGTAACGCAACGATTCCTATCCCTCAAAATCTCTTCAATTTCCTTATAACACAACATCTTAGCATTCCCATTTGCAGCATTACCCATTTGCTGCTTCGCTTTCTTAAATTCTTTAAGCAAATTCCTCCACTTATCAGTGCACATAGTAGGACTCCTATCAAACCCTCTATCCCTCATTTTGGCCGAAATCTGCTCCCACAAATGCTTATTTGATTTAGAAGTGTTGAACAGAGAATCCATCTCTCTCCTCAAGCTAATTAGATTCCGGGTTTCGTCTTGAACCCAAGTTTCGGCTCGCTTCTTCGGGCCCGAAGAAGACGGTGTTGTCGCCGAAGAGGGTAAACGGTGCGGTTCATGGATTTGGTGGGGGTGGGGGTGGGGGTGGTGGGTGGGACCCACTTCGATGAGCATGTCGTTGTGGTGATCGTCATCGGAGAAGTCGAGAGATGATGAAGGTGGTTTGGAGGTGGTGGTAATTGGGGTGGGGTTGTGGTTGGAATCGGAAATGTACATGATTTTAATGGAGTTTTTTGGGGAAGAGTGAAATTGAGGAATATTAGGGGAAATTTTGGGAATTATTAGGGTTTAAATGGATTTGGGAATTTGGGTTGAAATTGAGGAAAGAATGAGAATTTGAGGAATTTGGCATTTTTTACTATTCCGGGGAGGTGGGATTCCGGGGAGGTGAGTGAGACAGTGGAGTCGGAGACTCGGAGTATAGAGGTTGTGTTCTCTTTGCCTTAATTTTTTACTATTGCTTAACAAACTTGAATTACGGTTTACTTTCGTGAGTTGATTTTTTTTTTAAAGGATCTGTGAGTCGAACTTGACACACGTGTTCTATTGGCGGATCCAGAAATTTATAAATGGGGATCTAAAATATTTTCCAACTTAATCATACCAACATGCGAAATAATTTTTTGAAAAAAAAAAAAAAAATGGATTTTTGAACAAACTAATCCAAAGTTCCATTCTTTTTTCTTTCATCAACCGTCTTTTCACTAATAAAAAAAAATAGAATACTACTTTAAATAATTAGAAACAACTAGTCAATTTGATATGTTACCCTCATTTCATATTATTTACAACAAAATTGTATTATTTATGAGACATAAATTATTCATTTATTGTAAATAATATAAAACAGATGTAGTAAATTAAATCTAAAATCAATCGATTTCCTAAGTCAAGCACTCACTCTAGTACTATAAAGTATACAATTTAAATCAATCAAATGCACAAAGTACTTATTGAATTTAATGTTTTTAGCCAATAAAGATCACCAACAGTATGGTGATTATAGTCGGTCCCTTCATGTAGGGTTCAGTCAGTTTCTTAAGTGGTGGGATTTTTAGTATTGTTTGTTTGTTTGTTTTTCATGTGTGCAGGGATACAAGTTTAGAAGATTTGTCTTGCAAATTTGTGGAATTGCGGGTCTGTTGGTTTAGGGGTGCAGATTTAGAAGATTCGCCTTGCAAATTTGTCGATCTTGATGACCAATCAAGTTTTATCACTTTCGCGACTATACATCAATGGAGCTCCGTCAAAAACGATGCAAAGACATCTAAAATTATTCAGGAGCAGTTCAGAAGCGATTTCATTAGTTTAGAAGTGTTAAATACTTGTAGTGAGAATTTAGATCTCTTAAGGAATGATTGTAAGTGTCGAATGACTATTATTATTTAATGAAGTCACCCCTCCCTATTCCATTAAAAAAAAATGCACAAAGTAAAGCTATAATAGTTTGAGGCCTTTGAGTGTGAGTTTGGAAAAAGGAGACTTGGAGAAAATAAAAAAAAGGGGGTTGTGAGAGAAGAGGTTCACGTGAGTAACCAACCAAACATTTAAAAATTAAAAAAATAAAAAATACTTGCTTTCCTACCTTCACGTGACATATGAGAATAAGAGCAGTAGGAGTTTGTTAGCAAATGATATATGGATATTTGGAATGGGAGTCCAAATTTTTAGGCTTTTTTTTAAAACGAAACTTGGGCGTATAGACTTCATTTGTATTTTTTTTTCACAAAATGGGAATGCAAATGCTCCCTAAGAGGAATTAATAGGTCCGCCCATGACATGTTCATACATAAATAGTGATATTTTCCTACAAAATATAGTCGATGATATTAGTTATTAAAGATATGTGTAGGCAAACTCAAAAATCAAATTGTTACAATCAATTAACACACTATGAAACTACTTAGAATTTCCAAAATTTACAATCAAATTTTCAAAATCATACCAATGGATTAGACTTTGCATATTAGATAGGGTTGGATAGTAATTTTTTCACCTTGATTGAAAGCGAAAGAGGATCTAATTTACTTTATTAAAAATCATATCGATAAAAATCGAACAAATGACTATCCTATTTAGGTAACTCATAGTACTTTATGTCTCTTTTTGTTTGTCGCAATTTTCTTTTCAAGTCGTCGCTTAAAAATTGCTCCATATTATTATTATACATAGAGACCATTATTTTACTTTCACAAAAATACTTTAGATCCCATCACTTTTCTCTCTCATTATTTCCACTCAACAAAACTTAATAAATTGAAATATTTATATAGGGCAAACAATTGAAAACGGAAGAAATATGTATTATAAAAATAATTTCTTTTATAAACATCCTCAATAAACTAGGTACTCCATACATAATAATACTATAAATATCTCATGCATTTACACAATAAGTGAATTAACCATCAAAAAGTATTGCTCGAGATAAAATCTTTAGTTCATTTAACCAACCCGAAGAACGGAAGAAGTAGCAACTTGGAAAAAAAATATCAATAAGCTGAAATTACTGGGTTTTGTTAGAAACCCCAAACCCCCCATTATTGCAGTCTACAAGAAGGAAGAGAATTTCAGAAAATGGCATAAAAGCTCAATCTTTTAATTGCCCTTTGAAATTGCTGAAATTTAGAGTATACCCCAGAAATTTTTCTGCAACTCCTGCAAATTATAGCTCATCTCTTCTCTTAGGTAATTTCTCGAACACCTTATCTTCATTCTTAAAAAAAAATCAGAACTTTTTAGCTCTTTGTAATTACTTGGTGTGCGTTTTTTAATGCAGCTTTACATATTTCTGGAATCTATTGGTTGCATCATTACTTTCTGGGTGTGATTATAATTGAGCTTAATTTTAGTTTTATAGAGGTCCATGATAAATATTTCATTAAGGGGTTTTGTTTAACGAGCATGAAATTAAATTAATTGATTATGTGAAGCTAATTGATTATGGGAAAGTTGGAGTTGGAAATTAATTTCTTCGTACTTTGGTTGCTACATTTGTGTGATTGTGAATTTCCCTGTTTGTTTTTTACACATTGCATGATGCATTTTGAGCTACCCGTGTATTAGTTGCTTGATTTCAATTATGTTAAAGACAAACAACATTTTGATATTAGGTAAAGAGTATGGTTTCGTATTGGTTATCGATAAGTTTGGAGTCCTATATTGTACTTAGACTTTCATCCTTCAGGGCATGCTTGGATTGGGGGAGATGTATTACTAGGGTAATAGTCAAACTAAGCAAAATGTAAGCTTGGATTGGGGGAGATGTATTACTAGGGTAATAAAAGTCAAACTAAGCAAAATGTAAGTGAAAATTACCCTCTTATGAGGGTAATATTTCCTCCATCTCTCTCTTTTCCTCATGGCACAACTACCTTATTTCATTTGTAAACACCATGCCTCCTACAACAACACCTCTAATTACTTGTGTTTTTTCAATTTTGACTTTTATTACCCCTTAATATATTAACCCCAATCCAAGCAAGGCCTAAATGAGAAGATGAAATGATTCAGTCTTTATATAGGTCGAATCTGCTCACGGATGGAAAATTTGTTGGTTTTAGGATATTTAGGGGCCAAAGATGAAATAATTCAGTCTTCATATTGGTTTTAGGATACATGGAAGTCAAAAGGGACTGATTATTTTTGTTCAATATCGGGGATTTGATAATGTAATATAATTCGGGATAGTATATGATCAGACTCGACCGCCTCATATGAGTCATATCTAAATTAACAACTCGTTAAAGATATGGACCCTTGTAAATCATAGATGTTCTCAGTACATTAGCACTTGTTAACAGTCGCTAAGCTGCCTAAGCTTTATACAGTGAACTAACAGTCTTGAGTAACTTTATCCTAGGTACATGTACACACTCTGACACTAATAACTTGTGTCAGACACCGGTACTGATTTTTTTTCCATGATCTTAGCCCAAAATAAAGTGCCCATGCCCATATTTGAGTAATCAGAGTGAAAGGAAGAGTCTGAGTGGCTAAAAACTAAAATCTAACATCATGTGCCACAGTTATAACTAGTAATGGCATCTTGGTATTGTTAATGTACGGAGTAATCTATAAGATTAGGAGGGGAGTGACAGAATTTACAGTGTTGTTTTCATATTTTAAGGCTATGAAAATATGCGAGTTTTAGATGCTTCCATCAAGGGTATGTGTTCAAGTGTTTGACCAGGTATTCAACTATTTTGTGAAAAATTTCCATAAATTTGACCGAAAATGATGGGTCAAGATATCTTACACATGTCCGAGTGTCCAGGATTTGACACGGGTACTTGAGGATAGTGGGGAAGCAAGAAAGAGCTAGCTATGAATTAATTCCTGTATACTTATATCAAAAATAATATCCTGAAATTTAAGAATGTGTTGTTAGCATATGTGCTGCTCATGTTTTTTTTCATTTTCCCCTATACTCTACTTTGGTGCTGAACTTTAGGCCATCAGTTGGTTGACTTGTGCTTTACCCAGTAAAATAACACAGTCACCAAAAGGCTAACAAGAATGCAAAAAATTATAAAAGAAGGCTTTAACTTTAGGAGATTTTGGACTTTGTTCTAACTTCTCACGTTTTGAATGTATTTTCAAATTTTAGGTAGAGGCTGAGATTCGAAGTCAGAACCAATGTCCATATGTTATTACTCCTTATCATGTTACTTTGAAGTACAACTGAATCATCAAAATGGTGTGTCAATTTAATTTCAGGGCAATTGCTACTGAGTGCCTGAGACTTCCAACAATGAATAATGCCTACATGTCAAGATTCTGCAGCATCTCTCACACTGCTGCCATTCCGCTGCCCTCAAGAGGAAGTGTTGTTCTTGAACTATTTAGAAACTTCTCTACTTGTAGTCCATTGGTTGTTGTTCCTTCTAATCCTTTCATCATCAGAAACTCCCAAGCATTGACAGCTCAAATCTCCGCATCTGATACAACACAGCGCTCTGAAGAGTGGTTTGCGCTCCGCAAGGACAGGCTAACTACTAGCACCTTCAGCACTGCTTTGGGTTTCTGGAAGGGGACCCGCCGAGCTGAGCTCTGGAGTGAGAAGGTTTTTGCTTCCGATGCCACAACTGTAGCAGCTTCTGCAAAGCGGGCCATGGAGTGGGGTGTTCTCAATGAAGCACCCGCTATTGAGAGGTATAAAAGCATTACTGGGCATGATGTTGGTTACATGGGCTTTGCAATTCATTCTGAGCAAAGATTTGATTGGATGGGCGCTTCTCCTGATGGTCTTCTTAGTTGCACTCCTGAGGCCGGTATCCTTGAAGTGAAATGTCCATATAACAAAGGGAAGCCTGTGGCATTGCCTTGGTCATCAATGCCTTTCTATTACATGCCTCAAATCCAAGGTCAAATGGAGATAATGGATCGAGAATGGGTGGATCTGTATTGTTGGACCCCTAATGGGAGCACAATATTCAGAGTATGCAGAGAACGAGGATATTGGGAGCTTATACATGGAATTTTGCGCGAGTTTTGGTGGGAAAATGTAATTCCTGCTAGAGAAGCTTTATTAGTAGGTGGGGAAGAAGCAGCAAACTACTATAAACCCGCACCCATTCACAAACAAACTGGTCTGGTGATTAGCAAGAGCATTAGTTTAGCAGCCGAGGCCAAACTGTTGTGCAAGGAAATTGCAGGTCATGTCGAATTCTTTACACAATAGACCTCCAATTAAGATAACAATTTGATAATTCCACCATGGGTTATATTTTCCAATTACAAGCTTTTGGTGCAATTTTGTATTCTCT